ATTACATTTGGAAACTGCTCTATGCTGGAAATTCTCTCTCAGTCCCTGTCCTTCCAGAAGTCTTAAGTCTTTAAATATCAGAGGGGTAGCCGTGTTAGTCTGAATCTGCAAAAAGCAACAGAGGGTCCTGTGGCACCTTAGAGACTAACAGAAGTACTGGGAGCATAAGCTTTCGTGGGTAAGAACCTCACTTCTTCAGATGCAAGATGACTTATGCTTATGCTCCCAGTACTTCTGTTAGTCTCTAAGGTGCCACAGGACCCTCTGTTGCTTTTTACAGATTCAGACTAACACGGCTACCCCTCTGATACTATGTCTATTTGGTTAGCTAGGATTAAAATCTGATAAACACTTTTTTGGGTTTAAAAAGCAAGCTTCTTCACAGTCTTTGTATTCTTGTTGAGTGTGCAACCACCAGTCTGTAGCATATTCTTAATGCTAACTTGGCTTTCGCAGTGGAAAAAACAGACCATGCATGATGTCATTAGCAATGTAATGCAAACAAAACAAATAGAGGTGTTAAAAAAAAGTTGTAAAAAGAAGCAACACAACATCAAAATACAGTGAAGAACGGCATCTGAAATGTAAAGTTGTCACAGCTACCAAATAGTATCCTAAATCGAACACATTTTCTAACTCGTGTAAAGAATCTTTAGTCATTAGTCATCACATTGCTATTCATTGTTTTCACTGTAGATGTCAGTCTCAAATTTCCTTAATTAAACCATGTACAACTGCTCTATTTACTTGCTGGTGTCCGTATTTTTTTTTTTTATGATTGCAATAACACATCCAGTCTCTCTCCTGCTGAGAAATTTTCCTGTGAGCTAAAACCTGGCACAGATACTGAATGCAACAATGTTTTATTTTTCCTTCCCAAATTGTAACAGCTGTATAGTTTTCAGTGCTTAGACTAGTTCAAAGGTATACTCTTTGCTACCACTTATCTGAACATTATCAAAAAATATCGGTAAAGGTGCATGCAGTGAACTGTACCTCATACTCGCCACATTCAGAAGGTGTATCCTTGTGTATAGCCATCTGATACTTGGCAAATAAAGTAGCTGACTGGCTGAAGGATGAATTGAACTGTGGGTCTTCAAAGGAGACAGGTACTAACCTCACCTTCAGAGCAAGGAAAATACAAGCAAAATATTTAAATGCACCTCATCAGATTATATGCTCCTGAAGGTAAGGCTAGTGGAAGATCTCCTCATAGCAATTTCAAAGCCGCAGCCATTGGCATCCTATCTTAAATGGGGTAAGGCAAGTATACCCCATAAGCTTAAAGGATTGTTATATTAAATTATTATAGATATTTTAAATTAGAATTTATATAATGCTGTCATACTGCAGGTACTAATTTATTCTGCCCTCTTATCCTTTGGTAATACAAACAGTACAAAATAACAGACATTTTATTTTGATTGCACAGTTCAGAGAGTGGTTGAAAGTCTTCTTTTTAGAGGCACATCCCCAATACTTGCTACCTAAGTTGCCCTCCAGCCCAGTTTCTGTTTAGCTTCAGAGAAATAATATACCTGGCAAGTTTAACTATTACATGATGTCCATTCATTGTGTGAAATAGTGACAACATGTAATTTAGCTGGAATGTATTGTTTTCTTTTAAACTGGTTTAAATTGTAAGTAGCAAAGAGCTTTATACAAACTCTAGTAAAACCTGAACAGGAAATTTTTGGCATGTGATAATTATTGCACACACGTTTTGGTTCATATTATGCTTGCCTTCCTCATGTAAGGACTCACATCTAAATCAATGAAACTCTACTTCAGGATTTACCCCTCTGAATGCTGAATATGTATATGGTCCTCCTCATATTAGTATCTGAGTGCTCCCACAGTCCACCTCTCCTGCTCCCCTATGGCTTTACTGTATAGTTCTTCCAAATGTTCTGAACCATGCCCATGATTTCTTCATTTTTTTGTCTGCAATAAAGTTGACATATTTGTGGCACCTACAATAAGATACCAAAAACAGCTTGCACTTCCAGGATGTTGGTTTGGTTTAATTCACCCGTCTCTTGATTTTACATGCTTCCATTAGAGTTACAGGTATATAATGGATATAAAGTCCACATTTGTTTCTCACAGAATCCATCCAAGACATATGAAATGGAGGGGAAGTTGAGGTTTTGCATAAAATTATACTTGGCCTTCTGACCTGACTTATGGTTGGTTTATCAGGTGGGTCCTTGTGAATAGCCATCTGGTAACGTTTATAGACCTGGTAAGATTCCTGAAATGTGGCTTTGAACTGGCAACTTGGTGGAGATGATCTCACTACCCTCACCTTCAGAAGAAGTTAAAGATAGATTCATTATTGCAATATCACATAATTACATACATAAATAAAAGCTGATGAAAGATACCACAAGTAGAGAAATTCTGACTTTCTGCAAAACAGATCACAGTTAAAACATCAAACTTAAAAGTCTAATTAATAAATCAGGCTTCAATCTTTCAAATTTTTTTCAGGTGTGTTAGCTAAAAAATTTTACCCTGTATCAGATAAATGAAAAAGGTTCTCTTATTCTTAGTGCATGAAACTTGAGTTTTTCTAAGTATTAATTTTAAGGTAATTAAGCCCTAATATTAGAAATATACAAATATTGTTCAAAAACTAATAAGCCAATAAGTGAAATGCAAGACACTAACTGATCTCCATAATTTAAAAATGTGCTTTTACTGTAATCTCACATCATGCTGAAAAAATGCTAGATGCACTTAAGCCTTGGAAGTCTGAACTCTATACTTTTTGGAGGGAGGCCACTCTTCCCTTGTGGTGATGACAGTAGAACAGTTAGACCTTTTCCTAATTAAAAGGAAAAGGAGAGAGGAATCATAAAATCACAGGAATCATAGAAATGTTGGACAGGTCATCTAGTCTAGTCCTCTACACCAATGCAGGACTAAGTATTATCTAGACCATGGGTTCTCAACATTTTTCTTTCTGAGGCCAACCCAACATGCTATAAAACTCCACAGCCCAGTTGTGCCACAACTGTTTTTCTGCATATAAAAGCCAGGGCTGATGTTATGGGGTAGCAAGCAGGGCAATTGCTCAGGCTTCGGCTTCAGCCCCGGGTGGGGCTTCAGCTTTCCACCCTGAGCCCCAGCAAGTCTAACACAGGCCTTGCTTGAAACCTGTTCGCAGCCCCCCCAGGGGGCCACGGACCCCTGGTTGAGAACCCCTGATCTAGACCACCCCAATTACTGTTTGCCTAACCTTTTCTTAAAAGCCTCCAATGATGGAAATTCCACAGCCTCCCTAGGTACTTTGTTCCTGTGCTTAACTACCCTTACAGTTAAGAAGTTTTCCTAATGTCTAACCTAAATCTCCCATGCTGCAATTTAAGCCCATTACTTCTTGTCCTGTCCGGTCTTCATTTTGTTGCTCTCCTCTGGACTTTCTCCAATTTGTCCACATTTTTCCCAAAACTGGACACAGTACTCTAGCTGAGGCCTTATCAGTGCTGAGTGGAAGAATTACTTCTCATATCTTACTTGCAAAAACATCCCAGAATGATATTTGCTTTTTTTGCAACAGTATTACATTGTTGACTCATATTTAGTTTGTGGTCCCCATTATAATCCCAGATACTTTTCTCCAGTACTAGGCAATCATTTCTCATTTGCTGTCCCCATTTCCTACCTGTTAGTTGCTTCAGAAATCGGAATTTACTAGTGAGTTACAACAGCAGGCATCCTCATGACCAACGAAAAGTGACTGAAATTTTTAGTTTATAGTGAAAATGGCTGCTTCCTAGACTAAAAAAAAAGTGATGTGATATATAGACCACCTCATCTTCATCCTGTATCTTCAGGCATATTTAAGGGTTCAATTTCAAGGACAGCATGGAAACAATATAATTTCCAGTTCTGGGCAGATTCTGTTGTTGCCTATAAAATCCACCATGACCCATGAAAACTCATGGAATCACCCTTCGGCAGTTGTGCTGGCTCCCTCCTGCAAATCCTCCTAAACTCTTGGCTCCCCTTCCACAGGCCTAGTTTCTTCCTGTCAACTATCCCTCCTTCCTTCTTAATACATAAGTCCTCTCCTACTCTCCTGTAACTTAACTGTATCAGAAAGCTTGGAAGAATAAGCCAGGCCTGTGGGGTTTTTCTTTCTTTTTTTTTTATTTAGGCTGTACAAATCAAGCCATTATTTTTCCACCACTGGTGATCTTTTCAACCTATTAGCACAAAGCACTATATTTCTCAACTTCAGTCAATATTATGAATGCTACTGCCCATAGTGGTCGATAACAACCAGGCGCTAGTTTATAGAAGAGGCAAGAAAGTCTTCTTTATGCTATTCTCTGTCTCATATTCCAGGAACAATGTTTGTCCAATTTAAAAACAAACAAAAAACTTCGAAAGTTCTCAAAACTCAGACTTGCCAGCTGGTAGCCAGTATATTACAAATTCTTTTGTAACTCATTTAATAGATGATAGTATTGACTGTCATTAAGAAAAAAAATTATAGATGCAAATTTTGATGAACTGCTATAAATCATTTCAGACGTGCGTTTACAGGAAAGAGTTTTGTACTACACCTTTTCAATTCAGTTGTAAGAACAGGTATTATTTTCCTATTAGATTCATCATCATAGACGGTTAAATATTTATATGCTTTAGAAATTTACATTGCATTTTTCTCTTCATAACACTCAGCTAATTCTAAATCTTTCATTTGTAAACTGATTTTATACACCATGATTCAAAGTATTTTGTTAAATGTAGGATTCTCAGCTAATAAGAGTCCCTGACTGTAAGAGCCAGCGTGCCCTCTAGAGGCCCAGCAAGGCTCTACCTTTGTTTTCTCAGTCATAAGATTTCAAATGAAATTTTTTTTTAAAATGGCTAGGCAATTTATGAGCACATGGTTCTAAATAACTTAGGTACTTTTGAAAATCTCCCTGATAATGTATATTTTATAGCAAAATATATTTTCAAAAGCTGACAAATTAAGTGCTGGAAATGTAAATAGTATTTATCATTGCTCCAATGCTTTTATTTTAAAAAGTGAGCCTTTTCCACTTCAAATGTTTTCACAAGTCTTTTCTTTGAAAACTGCTTCTAATGGTAGAAATTATTTATCTTATGTATGTGCATAAAAATAAATCAGTAGCAATGTAATTGGCAATACCTCTAACTGATGTGTGGCATCATCAGGTAAGGAGACAAAAATGAAGTCTTCAATGGACTTAGGTTGGTTCGCTTTAGATTTAGAGTTTTGAGAGAGTAAAACCTGAGGCTCCACTTGACTTGGAGTGCCTTCAAGTGAGTGTGTTTGGTTCTGAAGAAGCTTGTGCAATTTTCTTTCCTTCCGAATGTCCTTAGCTTTTCGACAGGGCGGCTTGCTCAAATCAGCCCCTTTTCCTAGAAGGACATAAACAAAGAATTAAACAACAAGGTTATATCACAAGAAAAATAGCTATTACATGAAAGGTGGGACAGAAGAGAGTTGGTTACAAACAATACTTTTACAAAAGATTTTTTTTTTAAATAGCATGATGATTTTTAGCATTTACACAGCATTTAGCTTTTCCATGTTCAGAACATTTTGCAGCCATTAGCTAGGAACCCACATGCCTTAAGGCAAGCCAGACCTAAACTGCTGCAAGATCATTCCTTTCATGGCAGCTGACATGGCAAACTAGAAATCCTATGGTAGCGTCACTTAAATTAAAATTTGAGATTTTTAAATGAATTGAACAAAAATACAATCATTACAGTAGCCCTCATTCATGTTGACATTAAATTCAATTTTACACTGTCCCCTGAACTCAGTTTTCAATATGCTGCATATTTTTGGTCTAAATGCATAGCTGCATCATATAAATGATAAAGGATTTTAGCTGCTGAGTAGGAAATGGGATGTTTGGCACGGAAGTCAGTTTGAAATCAGAGATAAACACAGCAGGTGGATGTTTCAGCTAAAATGCTCAGCCAATAAGATGGTTGGTTTCAGAATTAATGCTCCACTGAGACAAATGGGCAGAGCTACACTTTCATGCTTTCTACAGACTCAGGAGGATAATCTAGTTATAGCTCATTCATTCATATTTTTATGCGGATATTCACAACCACAAGGACTAAAATACCTATTTATTTTAAATGAAATCTTAAATTCTGTAGCGAAGTTATACTGTAAATGATGGATTCCGTGGTGGCAGAAGTGCAAAATAAACAAGGCCCTGACAATAGCCCCATGATGCAAATATCATTCCCTGTTTAGAGATGGAGAAACTGAGGTAGATGGTTAAAGGTCTTGGCTTAGACCCCCAAATCAGTTTCAGAGTCAAGGATTCAAATCAAGATTTCCCAATTCCTGACACACACACTGCTTAAATCACCACCACACATATCCACAAACAAAGGCCCACTCCTATTTAGCTGCATTGTGTAAAACAGTAGTATATCCAAGCAACTAAAAGGATCACCTTGAGGCACTGGAAAGACTTGTCACCACCAACTGAGAATTGATATATTGCATCAGCAATGCAAAGGGCAACCTGACAGAATCATGCGCAGGACACAAAGTAGAACGAATTTATTTCACACTGCCAGGAAACCCTTTGCTACATACATATAGTCATCGCCAATAGCTCTAATATGCAGAGCAGAGAAGAATTAAAGGCCAGGTAAGTGTGTAGTCTGAAGTACTAACAAGCTTGCCTACTTTTAAAAAGGTTTAAATAACTATATTGACACCCCATTGTCATGAGTATTTTGAATGTGCATATTGTTACGTCGGCTCTTATTGTTTACTTCTTAAGTTTGGTTGTGAAATAGTATTTATTTTTAAAAAGACGACAAATGTACAAGAGGAATGTGTATGGGAAAGAGTCATTAGTAATAGCTTAAAGATTATCGGACCATATATATTATAACGTAAGTGAGAAAAGTAGTGCTTCACTACTACAAACTGATCACGAATACTGAGTAAAATTTTCAGAAGTGCATAACTGACTTTGGAGTTTAATTCTCATTTTCAGAAGTGGTTGACTTAAAAAATGACTTTCAATGGGACTTACAAAGCTCTAAAGTGCCCTCATCACTTTGAGAATGAGACTTCAATGTTTTTGAAAATTTTACTGTCTGAATATATATCTACAACTCTAAATTATGACAAAAACTGTACAATAGTATGTATAATTTCACAATATTTTCTTATATTTCCATTTCTAACATTTCCATTTGTTTCAGAAGCAAATAAATATTCAAAATATCATTCTTATCTTATTTAAATCACATTGAAAACAGGATAATGTATAGAAGGCATTTGTTACAATATTTTACAACAGGTCTCTCTAGAAAATACAGCATTTTGGTATTCTAGTATTTACGTAATTTACAAGATCTGAAAAAAACTACCAACCACTCTCACTTCCATTTTATTAAAGGTATTTTCTTCTTTAGCAAATGAAAATGGCACATCAGCTGTATGTATGATATGTATGATACTGCTACAAAAAAAAATATTCTTAGCTTTGTTGTGAAAATCTCACTTACTTTATTTTTATATGTATCATTTAAATTCAGATTTTTTTTACCTACTGAAGAAACATCTAATACTTATGCTTTACAAACTGAGCTTTTCTTTTCAAAAATAATCAAGCTTTTTCCAACCATATACAAGCTTTGTACCTGTAAAAACACTTGAAGTAAGATTCATATTGGAGTACCGACGTCAAACAGTTAAAATGGAAAAATCTTACACCTATTAATTATGCCTTTAAGAAAGCATATTCATTTTTAGACATTTGATAGAATGCAGAACATTACATGTATTCATGCAAGTCACAGTTATTAATTCAAAGGGTGTGTTCTTAGATTTCATTGGACCCATCATGCTGCAGGAAACACACCAACACATTGCTTACAGTAATTAAAACTCTCCTGATACTTACGGAAATGGGCTAATGCAATTTTTCTCCTGCTTTTCACTGAAAAGGTATTAAAGTATTTCAATACACTTCAAAATTAATATTTTCAATATTAATCATTGTTTAAAGCTGCTAATTTATGACTAGACTCACTGAATTCCTGTTCACCTTCAAATTCTGCCTCTCTTTCCCACTGACACCTTTTCTAAACATTCAGATATGTTACTTTCCTATCTCGCATGAAGCTGAACTATATGTCTGAGTTTAAATAAACTATAACAGGCCTATTTCCATTTCTAGAATGAGAGACAATCATTTAAATTTATGCATACCCCTCTGATCCAGAGGTACAAAGGGGCCTTCTACTAGTTCATTTGGTAAAAACATAGATATGGAATGATGCAGAGAAACAAATGAAGAGAAAGTCTCCCTTTGCAGAAATGGTCCCTCTGGAGAGAAAAAACAGAAAAATACTTGAGTCCTAGATTCATAGATTCTAGGACTGGAAGGGACCTCGAGAGGTCATCGAGTCCAGTCCCCTGCCCGCATGGCAGGACCAAATACCATCTAGACCATCCCTGATAGACATTTATCTAACCTACTCTTAAATATCTTCAGAGATGGAGATTCCACAACCTCCCTA